AAAAGATATTTAAAAATTATATATATATATATATATATATATATAATAGTATTTGTGGAGCGTTACGTATTCGTCTATATTTTCGATATTAGTTTTAGAAGTATATGAAAATTAAGGGCAAATGGGAAAACGCAAGCGATATCATTATTAGTGGACCGTTTATGCCAGTTATGGTTCCTGTCTCAATACCATGAAATTGACACTGGTTCTTTATTGAGGAAATATAGTTCTTCAAGGAATCTATCATAAACTGGTGCTAAGAATTTTTTAAAATCGTTTCTGTCACAGTACAAGCGAGCGATCATCGGCGATGTTCACCTCCGATAGAATGAGTATGGTATAAAAAGCCAGTATATTGTCTAAACGGTTAATAATGGCGCTGCACGAGTACAATCAAAGCGAAAAATTTTATGGCAAAACTTTTTGATAAATCTAGTGTTTCCATTTCCATGATTATGATCTTAGATAATCTATAAGGTTTGTAGGTGCATGCAAAAATACGGGCCGATGAAAATCTATCTCTGCGGTCTCTTTCATGCCTTGTGCAACTAGCTGGGTTATCCGGTGAAGTAATGGCTTCAAACGAGTTTACCGAACATTATGTAAAGCTTTACATTGGATGCTTGATGGACCTTTTTGCTGAAGGTTGGTTATTTCCATGAACTATTCTATTTTTTTTATTAATTTGAATCATATTGTCTACATAGGTTTGATATTTACATCCCATTTAGGTCCGCTTCCACATGAGATCAACCATTTTTGTACAATAATTAATCGCTTGTTCCAATATCGCCCCATCCAAACGATAATGAGAATAGGACCCGATCTCAGAAAACGTTTTTTGTTATATCTTTCGCAATATATCCAACACCTAAGCAAACAGGCCATGCACAAAGCTATAGTGAGTATAGTCTAAATCTCAATGAAAGGTAAGATCGATGAAGAGATGTTTCTTTAAGGGTGGAGGAGAGCATGATGACCATCATTCACTAGCCTTATTGTATGATTCGTGGACGTTGCTGTTGAGGGGTAGGTGGAGGTTGGAGCTGTCACAAGAAGAGGAAACGATGATTGGTGAGCATAATTAAACTTGAAATTCACGAACTTACATTGGAGTGACATTTATATTAACCTTATCGGACAATTTCTATAATTCCACTCTTCTAGACACCGAACTAATCAATGGACCAAATTTGCAAATAGTCAGGTGTTTCGTAGAATGTGTTCAAGCTCCGCCCCTCGGTTGCCGCCCACCAACGGTTGCAGAAAATGATGATGAGGACGACGATGATAGAGTGGTAACAATGTTTCCACTTACTGTTCCTTATTCTCCATTCTCATATACTTTTTTCTAGCTTTTCAATGATTTGCTTACACCTCTAGGGACTATGGCCTGTTATTCAGTACGTGATTTTATGGATATGATGATACAGTAGGTTCAGTTGTTTTCGGACAAAAAATCGTGTTTCTTGGGAAAAGCCGTACTGTTGCAGCCTTCTGCGTGAGCGTATAGCTGAATTCCAAAGAATGGCTTCTGGATCAGCAGATTTGGCTCGTTTGCCACTTTGGCAAGAAGATATGCATTGGCTTTTATTGATAGTTTGTGAGTTTATGAGTTTACATCCTTGTGACGACTGAAAGTGAAAAGGACTAGTTCTCTTACATTAGTAGACCTTTGGCAAGACAATCAGCCTCGACAAGTGGGCAAATCAAAGTTCCTTTCAGACTTGGCTTTTGTTCATTGTCCTTTGCATTATACGATTTTTTAAGCAAATTCAATAGTTAGCGAAGATATTGATGGAAGCTGCAGGACAGAAGGAGACGTTTTTGAGAGTTCCGTGGCGTTAGTGAACGAAAGAGGAAAAGTTTTCAGGTAAGTCTAGTTCCAATGTTCGCGTAATCCAACCATATGTCAGCTTAATATGTCATTTCTAGCATCGATGATAGCGATGCATTCCTCAGTCGTTGCATTGAAGATCCATCGACAGATAGAGCCCAAGCTGATGATCGTGTTGACCCATATTTAAGGTTAGTCTACGTATTAAAGTGGAGTTCCCTATATTTTGTTATGCTTTTTTTAGATCTTTGATGATGTCTTTAGCGTCTCCCTGATTTTTTTCAAATCAACGAAACATTTGCAGATTAATTGGGGAGGTTCTAGCGTGGGCTTCTCTTGAGCACCATTTGGTCTCTGAGGCAGTTGCTAACTTTGTCAGTCCAGAGCTAACACGGTCAGTGAGATGCATTAATCCTTTCTTGTGGATTTTTGAACTCCTAGAATGTCTTCATTCAGATCTTCTCTTCTATGCCTCAAGAGGTTAATAAGCGCGGCAAGCTGTATAGCTGAGTACAGTGTGAGTTCTTTTGTGTCTGGCTAGGTTTTCTTCTCTTCTATTTTTTTGCAGGGCATGTAATTTTTAGTTCTTATTTTCCTATAATTTCGAAGTTCTTCTAGGATGCAGATCCTTTGGCACTACCTGTTCTACCGCAAACGGGTACATTTGCTCATTTGATCGTAAAATTCGTTGTTCACAAGGTCTTCACAATTTTGCAAAAGTTTGGAGGAGAGGAAAGGTTAGCGGATTTTTCTGAACCTTCCACTTTTCTAAAACCGCTCAGTTATATCTCATCATTGGATACATATGTTAAAGCCTTTCTTTATGCGTTAAACTATCTCATGCATAGGAAACGCGTAAAAAGCTTAAGAGAACTTGTGTTTTTTGTTTTTATTGATTGCGCAGTTAAATAGAAACTGCAAAGTGAATTTTTCTTCGCCTTAGGTTATGTTTGGATGCCGTAAACTTGTTAATTGGCATGACAGAAGCTTATGCAACATCACTGGCTTCAGCACCTGAGTTATTCGAGCACCTCGCACAACTGGATATAGCAGCCTTGCCCAGCAGGTCAAACTCATTTTTT